ATGTACCTAATGTAAGTGGCTTGATTTTTCAGAAGTATTCAGTATCCAGCTATGAAGTTTAACAAAGACAAATGCAAAGTGCTCCACTTAGAAAGAAAAAATCAGTTTCACACATACAGAATGGGAAGAGACTGTCTAGGAAGGAGTACGGCAGAAAGGGATCTAGGGGTTATAGTGGACCACAAGCTAAATATGAGTCAACAGTGTGATGCTGTTGCAAAAAAAGCAAACATGTTTCTGGGATGTATTAACAGGTGTGTTGTGAGCAAGACACGAGAAGTCATTCTTCCACTCTACTCTGCTCTGGTTAGGCCTCAGCTGGAGTATTGTGTCCAGTTCTGGGCACCGCATTTCAAGAAAGATGTGGAGAAATTGGAGAGGGTCCAGAGAAGAGCAACAAGAATGATTAAAGGTCTTGAGAACATGACCTATGAAGGAAGGCTGAAAGAATTGGGTTTGTTTAGTTTGGAAAAGAGAAGACTGAGAGGGGACATGATAGCAGTTTTCAGGTATCTAAAAGGGTGTCATAAGGAGGAGGGAGAAAACTTGTTCACCTTAGCCTCTAAGGATAGAACTAGAAGCAATGGGCTTAAACTGCAGCAAGGGAGGTCTAGGTTGGACATTAGGAAAAAGTTCCTAACTGTCAGGATAGTTAAACACTGGAATAAATTGCCTAGGGAGGTTGTGGAATCTCCATCTCTGGAGATATTTAAGAGTAGGTTAGATAAATGTCTATCAGGGATGGTCTAGACAGTATTTGGTCCTGCCATGCGGGCAGGGGACTGGACTCGATGACCTCTCGAGGTCCCTTCCAGTCCTAGAATCTATGAATCCCATCTTTACTTCTAAGTATATACTCAATACTCTAACCAGACCCCACAACAGCTAGTGCACTGGACAACTGACACAGAAGGAAGAAGTCACCACACAGATTAAGATGCATCAATCTCACCAACCAATCATATTTTCTGGTCCAAGCACAGCCAGAAATGTTGTCTATTTCCCCCCCAGTGATTGTGCAATACTGATGTTTCCAGTATCCTCTTTCCAGTGCTATTTAAATTAATAAATAATACCGTGCTATTCCATACCTGCTGGGAGGTGGGGGGAGGAAGGCTACTTGAAGCTGAGCTCCATTAACCCTCAGCATTCACTGAATGATACCCCAAAGGTCTGAGTCTTAGAGATCAGCCTGAGGCCCAAAGTATGGAGATGATCTCTCAAAGTTCAGCAGTGTGAGGCCTCAGGGTTTTGGTTCACCCCATTACACAGCTAATAACTATGTTCACATCCCTCTCTCTGTGTTTTACACAGCTACTGAAGCTGTCCAAAAAAATCACCATCTGACTGTCTGTAAATGGACAAATGTGACATGGTCCAGGAGGGTGATGGATCAACTCCTCAGCACCAACTGAATTAGCTGGATTGGGTGCTCAGCAACTTGATGGTGCTGAGGTGTAGAACTTCTCCCTCCAGTGCTGCATATCCATTTGAACAGCCCTTGTATTTCCCTCCACAGCGAGCGCCGCTGGAGTGGCTGCCTAGAGCTTGACATTTTAACTAGAACTGGCCAAAAAGTTTCCAAGGGAATTGAATTTCAACGAACACTGAGAGAAATAAATTGCCCTCCCTCCCAACCACCTCCAACTTCCTTTCTCTCCTAGATCATGGCCTACTGTTATTGCTCTCTCCCATTGCCAGCAGTATGTAGACACTTGCATGAAGCAGCCTCTTTACGCTGAAGTCATGATTGCTTTTAAATACCCCTATGAAAAACAAACAATACTTCCCCATTCAAAAAAAATTCCCCCCAGTAACAAACTCTGACTCCTCCACAAGCTAAGCCATCTGCTTCTCAGCACAGGAGTGGGATTTTCAAACTGATCAATTCAGCACTTGAGGTTAAAGGTAGTTTGATGCCTTTGTTAATATTTTAGAGATGTGAGTCTGGAGCACCTGCCATTAGGGCTAATGTAAAATACATTAGTGCATTGCATTGGAAAAATCCAACTGCTGGCATCAGAGGATTAACATGTACTATGAATATCAATACACACATTGGAATAAATATTAATACTTAACATACTTCCAAAGTTTAAAAACAAAAAATTGTTGGAGGGGGAGAGAGGAAACTGCACAGGAGAGAACTCTCTAACCTGTAATTTTGTCAGTCCATGATTTTAAATACCCACTTGCACTGGGATTAAGTGGAAACAGATCAAACGGTAACTTTTAAAGGCTTCTGCCACTATGTTCAAATGGTTTATCCACACGGAGCAGTGCACATAGTTTTACTCTCATTTTCTGTTCTTTCCACCCTATTGGAAAGTGCAGATTCAATATTTCCTTGCAGCATTCATAATCAGAGATTGGGGATGTCTCAGACAATTTGAAATGCCTATGTACATGGCTGCTCTTCTGTCCCTGCCCAATGCATGCCCGTATCATCTCAGGACACCATTATATGTCTCATATTCAACAAGACTCCATTCTAGCAAAGCACTTAAGCACCTGCTTAACTTTAAGCACTTGAGTCAAAGAAACTACTCTCACATTTAAAGTTAAGCAGGTACTTAAGTTATTTGTGGACTAAAATAGCAAGTGAAGTCAGTTTGAACAACAACAAAAGATCAGCCAGTCATCAGAAGAAATAAATAAATTAATGGAGATATCCTATCTCCTAGAACTGGAAGGGACCTTGAAAGGTCATTGAGTCCAGCCCCCTGCCTTCACTAGCAGGACCAAGTACTGATTTTGCCCCAGATCCCCAAGTGGCCCCCTCAAGGATTGAACTCACAACGCTGGGTTTAGCAGGCCAATGCTCAAACCACTGAGCTATCCCTCCCCCCTCTAGAGAATGAAAAATGCACACAGAGCCTGGTACACTCTTGCCTACATCCTTTTCTGGGATATAAATATACCAATCCTTGGTCAAATTCATAGGTCAGCTTCTGCTACCATAGATCCTAGTGAAAGACGCCAACAGTGGAAATCTGGAAGGGAGAGCTAGGGCTGTGCCAATTTGGCATATCTCCTGAACAGCCGCCTCTGGCGGGGCTGCTCTGGATTCCTGACTATGAGTGAAATCTACTTTCCCCAGTGGAAATCTCTGGAGGGAGGGTGGCCATGGCAACATTGCCATCTCTCCCTCAAATGGCTCCCCCTAGGTTGCCAGGCAGCTGCAGGAATGTAATTCCCTGGGAATCTAAACTGGTGCAAGCCACCGCAAAGGACATCCTCCAGCTTTTCTGATCACCACAGCAGCTCTACTTGGTCTTTTTAATAGTTCAGTGGAGGAGTAGGAGAAAGAGCTACTTTTCAGTGCTGACCCTGTATTCTGTTACTCAGCAGGGGTTATTTTGCTGGACAGCAGCCCAGTGATCCTGGACAAAGGAGCAGTAGCAGATGTTCTGATCCATGCTCTTTGGGCTGGTTTGGCTAATTAGGGGAACCCACAGAGAAGGAGAGCCAATGTAAAGACTGTAGCCTTTATCTTGTTCATTATGATGGAGATTGGGCTTTGCTACAGTCCATCGCAGACATATAAAAATGTCTTTAAAAATTGAGATCAAAGCTTCTCATTGTTAAGGAAAAACACATCCCTGCTATATCTACAAGGAACATCTTTCAACTGCATAAAGCACAGCTCATGCAAATGACTCACCACAATCATTTGAGCCACGTAACTTTCAGGACCAGTGTATTCGGTTGGGTCTTTCACTTTGACCAGAACGATAAAGTACAAATAATGCCACATGTTGTGTTCTGACTTTATGTGCTCCTCAAATGAAACGGTCTTATTGTCAAACTTGTCTCTCTCAAGTCCTGCAAAAGACACAAAACATAACGTGATATTCCACCTGATCAACATTTATCTTCATTGCCAGTGTAAAAATAAACTCTGAAAAATGTCAGAGAAAGGATGTTAATTTAAAAGCTATAATTACAAACAGTGACTGCTATGCAAGACCTCCAGCCACTAAAGCATTTCTGACAAAATTATTTCAGCCCCATATTTATTCTTTCATGATATTCCTTCTTAATAACAACAATATAATTAAATATCTTACACTTTTATAGTGCCTTCTGTCCTGAGGTATAAAGTACTTTACAAGCTTTGGCTCTGATCCTGCAAAAAATAGACTATAGATATGAACTGTGTAAATTAACATGTAGTATTGCCACATAGGCCCTGATCTTGCATAGATTTATGAACATGCTTAGTTTTAAGCATGTGAATAGCCCTACTGAAGCTTCAGAGGGACTGCTTGTGTGCTTAAATGCATGTAAGTCTTTGCAGGATTGAGGCTCAAGTCATGAGAAAAACTGTTCGTTGTAACCACTTGTGCAATAGATTAAAAACTATGGCTGAGTGTCATGCCCAGGGAGGACAGGGATGCATGGAATTATTTAATCTGTTACAATTTCCCCAATCTGCTCTGCTATGGAGACCTGAGCAGAGATTAAAGCTTCCCTCATGTGAAATCTTCCAGTGGGTATAGGGCTCCTTCTTAGAATGGGGAGGTGTGATTTGCATCTCTCTGCACCAGCAAGGGTGAATCATAATCAGAAAAGTTCTATGTAATGACACCTCTTATTCAATTTATCTGCTCCTGTGTCTCTTCAGAGTCACATCTCCTTATCAAGTGGACAGGCTGTGCTACAATTAACATCCTGGAGCCTGTACTGCTACAGAAGAGTGTGTTGTATTTTTATCTGTTTCGCGATTCGACAACATCAATAGCTGCGCTCCAACTGCAGAGCCTTCATTATTGGTGACGATGCAAACAGTGGGATGAATACAGCTTGACTCTCAGATCCCAAGCGGAACTCACAGAGCCAGTTGTTAGAAAAGTCATCTTTTGACTTGTAAACTGCTGCCAGGAAGGAAGAAATGTACAATCCCACTCTATCGTTTTTACATGTTACTTTTCAAGGGATGACTGCCCTTCAGACTCTCTCTCATTTATAGAGCTTTCCCCACCAAATGCCACTGTAGCTCAATAGCACCCACCGCAAATAAAACAGGTTGTCTTTAAGATTTCCTCTTTCTTCTGTTTTTCACTCCTAAGGTCAGCAAATGTATCAATGATGACTCCAAAGATGAGGTTCAGAACAATAATTATGACGATGAAATAAAATAGAAGATCATAAACAACTCGGGCAGCAAACAAGGGCTCCTGAAACAATAAGAAGGTTTCAGTACGATATAAAAATAGCACACAACTAAAATATTAAACCACCAGGTACTTTTTCAGAACATTAGCTACAGTAAAGCAAGGCACAGATGCAGGTCTTAGGCCAGACCCTGAACACCTTACTCATATCAGCAGTCTAACTGAAGCCAAAGGGGTTACTCTCATGAGCAGAGTAAGCAGGATTTGGCTTTATATGCTTTTATCCCCTCCTCTTTGGATTTTCTGTAGTTCTCTATTGCTGCCAATGTTCCCTGGTTCCATGTTGCAGTAAGGTTCCTTCTGAGCAAGGCTGGATTGGACTCTTAAGAGAACCATAAGGCCCTCTGCCCATCAAGGCAGACAGGAGGCAGTGACTCCAGTGGACTATGGATCAGGACCTAGATTACTATTATCAACACAAGCAGCTCTTTTCCCCCAAAGCCGAGTGCTCTATCGCTGCATTCTCATCATCCCTCGCTGTTTGGTTAGCAAGAGAACATACTTGTGAACTTAGACCTGAGCTCTGCAGGGCAGAGCACCAACCACGGGGCTGTTATGGTGTCCTTGCACATACTGTGCATTCTGAACTAAAATGTCATTTTGTTGAAGTTATGAATTTTATTTTAAATGTATTGCATTAAAACAAAAGCAAGTCCCCTTTGCTTTTTTAACTTTTGGAAGTTTATTGGTGTATTTGAAAATCTCTTTTGCCTTTGTTAGCAGAGTATGTTGCTTGATATGAGTAAATAATAGGATCTTTTCCAATGCAGATGCTAGACTAAATCTCAGCTAACCATAAACCTGATATACTACAACCGAGAGTCTTGACATATATGTATCAATCAACCCCATTCAAAGGTTTGCATTTGATTCCTACTGTAATGGGAAACTGATCCAATCGGGCAACACTTCTTAGCACTGCTTGGAAAGTTATAATATGCTCCAGCTCTCCAGAAAGGTAACTAGCACCCGGAGTTCCCTTCTTCATGTAAAATCACTGCATTGAGCTTTTGCTCTTCTCATTGAGCATTCCATCTGGTATGTTAAAATTACATTTAATAAGTCATCTGCGTGACGTTCGCGTAGACTAGATAAAAATATTTCCTATATCCTGTAAAAGTTGATTTCAGAGCTCACGAGGCACATGAGAAAATATACTTGCATTCTGTTAGACAAATGCTTACATCTTTGGAAGGCTTTCTTAGCACATCCCCCACACCACCACCATTTCTCAGGCCTTGGTTTAATACTGTAACGATGCACATTAGCAGAGTGTCACAGGTCCTCTCAATTCCATTCTCCTTTTCTTCCTCACCTACAACCACAACAAAGAAAGGCTTGTAAACCAAAGCATCAACTGATCACTCCCAACACAGCAATAGACACTCTGTTTATTAGAAAAAGTGGCTGCTACAGTAATTTGCCTTTCATCATTCTACATCTGTAATTATTTATCATCCCTATCAATTTTGAAGCCACAACATTATAGCTTTTTTGACAGCAATACACTTAACCTGACAGAGAGGTGGTGAGAATCCTTATTTGTTCTCCCACAGGTAACCCAGCTAATAGCCCAAGTCTGCAAGCTTTATTCATGAGAATACTCTTTACTCATGCGAGTACTCCCACTGGCTTCAATGGACCCCTAAGTGCATAGCTGACACAGAGAGAAGTGATGTATGGGAATTAGAGGTATATTCAAAAGTTTGTCTCTTGTGAAATCATTCCCCTACATACGCTCGTATAAACCAAGTCATGCTATCATTTCCAGCTATTAAACAGTGGCTGGCTTATGCGTGACTCATTCTAGCAGTGATTGGGGTTAGGGCAAAGAACTAAGAGCATGCCTACTGAAGAAAATGAAAGACCCCCACTGACCTCAAAGTATTGGATTGGGCAATATAGGCCTGGAAATCTGGGTTCTAGTCCTATGTATGCCACATAATTGCTGAGTCATTGCAGCCATGCTACATAGAAGTAGGTTGGGCCTTATGCAGGAGAGTGCGCAGCGGGGGGCTGCATTGTCATAGGAATCCTGACCAACAGCCAGAATTCCTCCCGAGACTCCCATGCTGCAGTGGCAGTATGATCAGCTTTCAAAGAGGACAATGTGCTGTGGTGATTGGTGCAGTGGGAGTAGAATCATGGCTGGCCTTTCTCCTGCCCCTACTCTTCCCTCTCTCTTTGGGATGCACTTGCTCATGCTGTGTGCCTGCCTTGCATAAGGTCAGCGTTTCTCCCATGTGCTGATTTTTAGTGTGGGGATTTCAGAAATAACACAATTTAATAAATGTCAATTTTCCGCTTCCCTGGTTCACTGAAATGGTATACATAAGAAATTACTGTGAAGGCGCCACACTCTGGACTCTGAGATATCTTTGATTGACTGAAAACCCTTTGTTCAGTAAACCAAAATTCACATTACGGATAATGCCTTATATCAATATTGATTTAAATAAAGGTTAGCAGAAAGAAAGGCAAAGCAATGGATGGTAAGTCCCTGAACCCAAAAGACCTATGCCACTAATACACTATCGATATAGATATTTGTCAATCTTCCCTCCTAGAGTGTAACAATAATACACTACCAGATGTGATAATAATAATAATAATAATATCAGAGAAGTGGTAGGTAAGGTCCTATGGGAATTAAAACTAAGGGAAAAAGGAGTTCAGGAGAGCTGGCACTCTCAAAGGGACAATATTAAAGGCAAAGCAGCAAGCTATCCCAATATGAAGGAAAGATAGGAAGAACAGTAAGAGGCCAATATGGCTCCATCAGAAGCTCTTTAATGACCTGAAGATTAAAAAGGAATCCTACAGAAAGTGGAAACATGGATAGGTTGCTACGGATGAGTAGAAAAGAACAGCACAAGCAGGTAGGCAGAAAATCAAAGGCTAAGGCACAAAATGGGTCACATCTAGCCAGGAACATCAGCCAATAGAAAGAGGATCTATAATACAGTAGGAACAAGAGAGACAAAGGAAAGTGCAGGTCCACTTCTTAATGGGGAAGGAGAACTAATAACAGACATCAAGAAGGCGGAGGTGTTTAATGCTTATTTTGCTTCAGTCTTCACTAAAAAGGTTAACGGTGACTATTGCTTAACACAATGAATATTAACAGCAAGGGGGAATGAACGCAAGCCAGAATAGGGAAGAAAAGGTTTGAGTTAGATATACGCAAGTGAGCAGGGCCTGGTGAAATTCATCATGGATATTTAAGGAATTAGCTGAAGCAATCTTGGAACCATTAGCAATCATCTTCAGGAACACATGGGCCGTGGGGTGAGGTCCCCAAGAACTGGAGAAGGGTAAACATAGTACCTTTAAAAAGTACCAAAGTATCTTTAAAAAGGAGGAACAAGGAGGATCTGGGGAATAACAGACTCACCCAGCCAAACTTTGATACCTGGAAAGATATTGGAACAAATTAAATAATTTGTAAGCACCTAGTTATAGCCAACTTAACGTCCTCCTTTGACAGGGTTACTGTCCTTATGAATAGGGGGGAAGCAGTAGACTTAATATATCTTTCAGAGTAGCAGCTGTGTTAGTCTGTATCCGCAAAAAGAAGAACAGGAGTACTTGTGGCACCTTAGAGACTAACAAATGTATTAGAGCATAAGGTTATGCTCTAATAAATTTGTTAGTCTCTAAGGTGCCACAAGTACTCCTGTTCTTCTTTTTAATATATCTTGATTTTTAGTAAGGCTTTTGACAAATCTTACATGACATTCTCATAAGCAAACTAGTTCTCTATTTCCCCTATATAGTTAGTTTCCTCAGTTGTTTTTATCTCTCAGTAACAGGAGAGAGAAAAACATACTTACTAACAGTCACTTAGTGCACATTAGTAGTGGAGGGCTATAGTACGTGAAACTACTTTTAAAGGTTTTTTTTTTTTTTAATTGACTAGATTTCATGCTGACAATGTCCCTTTAACTTAGCTTTTCAAGCTAAATTGCATCTGAGATGAGGACGGCAGACAAAGTGTATCCAGACATTCAGTGGCATATGCTGCATTACTAAGATCAACTTATGAGATCCTAAACTGGAGAGAACAGCTGCTTTCTCACTAAAGGTAAGGATAAAGCTGATCAGCTCCTGGCTTTTGTGATCCATGAACTCAGCTAGAAGGCAGATATTTGTACACATCAGTATTAAGATTCAAAATTTGATTTTGATAATAAATAAATGTCTGTGTATTTGGAAATTAGGTGTGGGAAGCACTCACACTCTAGGCAAGTTGCCCGCACAGCTCTCAGTGTAGAAAAATGTGGCCACTTCTGACTTTGAATAACGATACTCAATTTTCCTGACAAGAAAAACCTCTCCTGTGTAGTAGTAACTTACAGACACTTCTACTTTAAATGTATCACCATTTGGGGGGGCTTTTGTACTAACCTGGGTTGGTAATAGGTAGGGCAGTAGAGCAATTTTCTTTTGCACATGTTTCCATCATGGACGTTAGAGTTGTGGTAGGAACTTCACCAATACCTGACAAAATGAAAAGCAGGATATTGATCAAGAGGCATATGCTGTAAAGTACATCTATTAGACATACCAAGCACATTGACACAAAGTTTAAAATCACAAATCTCTTGACATGAATTCTTGATTTATTTAAAAAAAAATCAAGAAGAACAAATTAGATCACGGCAGAAAGAAAGCATTCGGCATGAACAGCTCAGAACTATGTCAAGGAAGAATTACACACTATTTTACAGTTACAGTACATCACAGCTATTCCACCATTACATTTCCGTAAATTAATGAATCTACATCAAACGCTGCTACTTCTAGTTGGAACAAAATGTATTCAAACAACGGTCAGATATGAAAATAATGTCAGTTTTAAAACCATTAGATAAATTATTCACAAAGGCTGACAAGCAGGACACCGAGCTGATATTCAGTCTTCATGAATCTAGAATATTTAGGAGTTTTCAAGGATAAAAACACAGTTTGGTACTATTTGTAAATATGTATGGGTTTGAGTAAAACACTAATTTAACATTCCCAAAGTGGGTAAATGTGTACATCAGCTTGATTTCATCAAACACCAATTTCACCCTGTGCATTGCAGACAATTTACAGCATTTCAAATCAGTGTTGCAAAAAGTTTAAGGAGCAAAAATGATGGCAAAAATCATTCACTCCAAATAATAGTCCAAAGTATAGTAGGCTGTTTAAGCAGTGAAAATGGATTCATTCTGACTTTTTCCCATCTGAGGAGTGTTAAGCTAACATTTTAAATAAATTTTTGCTGTACAATATTCTGCTAACCTGACATCTTCTAATGCCATCCGTATATTTTCTTGACTAGATTCTCACGTATGAATGCTAGCAAGAACATAACAAGCCACACAAAATCTCCAGAGAACCCAACAAAGGGAACACAGAAACATAGGGATTGCCACCCTGCATCAGACCAGTGGTTCACAGAGTCAGGTATCTTGTCTCCAACAGTGGTCACAGGAACTTTCTGAAATTAAATTTCAAGTTCTTGATCTCAGCCTGGAAGGTTTTTTGTTTTTGTTTTTTGTTTTTAAAGTTACATACAAACCAATTCAACCTTTTCAAGTGATCCAAATATGGAAAACAAGGTGTAGTTAAGAAATGTCAGATAGCTCCAAAATGGCTTTATCAATACTTCTCCCTTGGTATGCTCAGTATCCTGAATGAGCTTTGCCTTATTTCAAAACTAAATGTATTCAAATAACTTTAAAAAGTACCAAAGTTATGAATGTTTGGATAGTGTACAGAGCATGTGCAGTATTGACTAGATACTGGTAGGTGCCAAGTGCCTTTTGTTAGGTATAAGGTGCTCAGCGCAGTCAAAGATCAGCCCCTAAAGGAATTAATCACAAGCCCATATTGTTTGGTCTAAGGGTAAAATTTTGACTCCATGATTTTACTAGGGCAAGGATTTTACCCTTAAAGTCTGTGTATAGAACTTGCAGTGTATTTAACAGAAGTTCTATGAAAGTTCCATACATGCGGTGTAAATTTAACAATAAATTTCCACCTGGATTTAAAAAAAATAAAAAAATCAGTCATACAATTTTAACAGATTTAGTAGACGTATACATCAGCATAGGGCACCATGCATAAAACAATACATTCCATGTACAAGATGCATTAAAAAGCTATATTTAACTTGCTATGACTTACTCTTCTCAAACAATAGTGAAGTGTGTAATGTTTCGTTAAAATTCCAACGTGAATTGGAATGGGAACAAAGTATATGAATTAACTTGTGTGATTTTTTTAGTAATATTTCAAAAGATAAGCCTAGGTCCGAAACAAACCTATGGAGAAAAATTTTACCTACTAGAATTAATCTATTAACGAGCCCTATGACACTGATTCTGTTCCTGTTGGAATCAATGGAAAAACCCTTGGATTGACTTTAAAGGCAGCAGAATTATCCTCATAGAAATGCTAAATTTCAGCAGGACGATGATAATTTGAGGTAAAAGCAATACCTGCAATAGGTGTTCTGTTTTTTAATCGGTCCACCTCCATGATGAAGTCATCTTTCAAGAACAGGAACCCAACGATGGAGAAGAGGTAGACCAGGATGAGAGCTAGCACTGCAGTAAGGATAATGGAGCGGCCATTTCGGGTAACACTTTTTATGACATTGAGCAAAGTCTCCTCTCTGTACACCAAATCGAACAGCTAGAAAAAATATAATACAGTATATCTGAATAAAGATGACAATATGCAAATGCTAGTTGGGAACACCTCCTCAACTCAGGAAATACATCTAGGCCAAATCCTGACTTCAGATACGTGCACATACAATTCCCACTGATATCAGTGGGCAGATGGCAGAATTTGGCATATGATAAACTTTATTAACACACATTATTGTACAACCAACTTAAGAGGAATACTATACATAAGATATGGGCTGATCCAGACTTCGGTAACATTCAGAAAGAGGATCCAAACCTAGTAGTTTCCCCCCATATTTATAATGGGCTAGACCAAAATCCCAGATCCCAGTGTCCTCACGGTATGCAGAAGAGTGCAGATCTAGAATTAAAATTTTGCATTTTGGGCCCATCTACAGTTAAGCCCCCGATTCTGCAAACATGCATGGGAATAACCTAAAGTCCATTGAGCTGACGGGGCTCCTTTGGTATTTAAAGTTACACATGTGTCAGCAGGCTGTACTTTGTTATGAAAAAGTAAAATTAATTTTACTGTTTCGTATAACCCTTGTAAAATTCGTATTATTTGTGTAGCATAACCTGTGTTGCTAAGATTTAACTTTAAGGGGAATATACATAAAGATAACATTTTTTCAGTGTCAAGTTCCTAAACATAACAATTAACAGTGATTAATTCATTTCAAGAAACTATAGCTTTTTTCTTTTATAATTCTGGTTTGTATTAGTGTTCTATAATTCTTTGGGTCTTATCTTCAATATATGTATTTCAACTCCAAAATACACAGATTACATAGAATGATTTATCAGAATTGTCCATAGTAGACAGTATTAGTCATAATTCATGAGATCTAAAATCCACATTCTTGAGAGGATTAATAAGTGAGCAAAAAAAGGGGAAAAAAACATCATTCATGCCATAATATACGAAGCCTAAAATTAGGAACAAAAATAAGTTTTGAGTAGTTCCACTACCAAGTGAATATATGTGTAAGTAACTAGGGAATGTTTACAATTATACCATGAATGAATCATGGACGTTTGTCATTCAAAACCAGTAAAAACTTAGTCATATCAGTATTTCTTAAAACTTTTTCACAGTGAGGTCTATATTTTAGGACTGAGATCCTTCCATGGACAACCTCCCCTCCTGATAGACTGTTCCTGATTCCACACCACCTCGGTGGCAGCTACTGTAATCCATATTACAACATAGTGACATCAGGACAATATTACAAAGGCAAAATTAAAATAAATTCTCTTTAACCTCTTGTGTATAGGGGGTCAGTTACAGTCTCCATTTTGTCTCCCTGCTGTTTGTTTATTCTCCCTGGATGTAGGATTTTACACTACTGGAACAGAACCCGCTTTCATGTCTTGTAACCCCCCTCTGCTCTAAATCAATACAGGTCACTTGGACACTTGGTTGTATCATCTGGGGTGTTTGCTATGCTTATAATTTTGGTGTTACTTAAAAGTTTGATCACAGTTGAATTTATACCAAATAAAGACCCTGTAAGACAGATCTTTACAAATAGACTTTACTGTCTGTTTTATGCCCCCCAAATGCAAAGCTTACATTTCACACTTCTTTTGGTTAAAAAAAAAATCTCCAATATTAAAACTAACTGCTGGTTTGGTGAATCTCTCTCAGTTACACAGTGTTTAGTGGTCTCTTACACTGAGAATGTGAGTACTCACCAACATGAGTGAGTTACAGGTGGGATGGGTGGGGACTTTCAATGGGACATATACTTTTTAGTCACTTGGGTACTTTTAAAAATCCCACCCTATATAACAAATAATAGACTCTTCAGGAATACATTTTTAAAGCCAGGCCTTACATATTGTTTCAGGAACAAGAGTCACATTAATTTTAAAGCAGCTAAAATCCTGGCCCTAGTGAAGTCCATAGATGTTTTGCAATTGACTTACTGGGGCCAAGATTTCATCCGGAGAGTCTGTACCACATCTTGAAAATTTACACCACTGAGCCTACTTATGTCCTCACATATTAGCACAACTCCTGTTAATGTTAGTGACAATAGGACGGATATATGTAAGCACAGAACTAGATTTTGAAAATTTGATTTCAATAGGGGTTTTAGTAGAGCAAGGACTGAAGCCCTTTAGCACTGAAAGCAGGATCTATATGAAACTCTGTAATTACTGGACATAGACTTGATTGTTCAGGAAACTGAGAAAAATGTAAAACTGAGTATAATGAAAGGTGAAAGCCATTGAAATGTACCGGGGTTTATGAAATCTGTCCAAAAGGTTTACACACTACAGAATGAAAATGGAAGTGATTAAAAACTACTTAAGAGCATCAAAAAGGGCTTTTATTAATGCTCTTCGGCTTGAAGAGCTGAGTTTCAAGATCATATTTTGTATGGAATTACTTTCAGTACACCAGTATTGTATTATGAAAGGAATTCCACCTGTGTCAGTAGAATTGAAGAAAATGAAGGAAACATATTTAAAATGTCTTCAGGCTACATGTCAGAAGCATCCAATCTCTCACCAACTGCAAAACAGTCCCATCAATTTATTAAAATAATTAATTACATTTATGCCCTACTGACTAAGGAGAGCCCATTGTGCTAGGCACTGTAGTAGACAGTTCCTGTCCTGAAGAGCTTACAGTCTAACTAGACAAGACAAACAGAGGGTAGTGGAAAGGATACAGCATACAAAACGTAGAGTTGGGGAGAGATGGGGGCAAAGGAAGGCTGTTTGATGATTTTCTGGAATGAAATGTGTAGACCTCTGTAACACAGGCAATAAGTCCTAACAAAAAGAGTAGCTTCTAACGGGCAGCCACATAACGGTATGCTAAAAATACCCATGATTTGGCATGATTGTCAGGAAGAAATCAAAGACAGCTGCATGGGTAATGGTATTTTCTATTTTTGCAAGGTCTCCCGCTCCCCGGCGGCACATACTCACCAGGAAACTATAGAAGAATTCATGCACACAGAGGCCCAGCATGCAGACCAGGACGTACGCTACGTGGTAGAGAAAGGCCATGTCCATAACGACGGCTCTGTAGCCTCGAGTGAATGTGCCACGGTTTCCAACAAAGCTCACCAGAAATACTATTTTGTTACAAAGCTGGGGGGAGATCACAAGGCTAGGTTTACTACATCAGAACAATATTACCATCATCGATTCATATTGTGATAGCGCCTCAGAGCCCCAGTCATGGACCAGGACGCCAGGTGCTGTACGAAGAGATTAAAAGGACATTCCCTGCTCCCAAAGAGCTCACAGTCGAAGCGTAAGACAAGAGACGACAGGTGCAGATGGCCAGACTTCACTAGCAGTTTGCAGAGCTGTTTTGCACAAAAGCCCTTGTCTTGCCCTTCCACTTCATTCTAAATATGCACATGGACACTATGTAATGTCATACAAGGCACACACAATACACTGAACAACATTACTCTGCAGCAGCCACCATTAGGAGTTTTTTCACATTGACTGGGTGTGACGAAGTGGGACTGTTCTTAATGTTTTCTCTGAATACTGTGTGGGTGCCCCAGTTTACCCTATGCAGTTCTTAAGTATCCAGGTGGTGGGAGAAGGGGGTGTGATTGTTGCAGAGCCCTAGAGGGCAGATGTGATGCTGTCTGGACAGAAAATGGCCGACACACTGTCTCCTGACAACTAATGACCTGGGCCCCTCCTCTAAAAAGGTGCCAGCTGAAGGTGTTGGAGAACAAAGGGATCAGGTGACCTCCTGGCCCGGGTAAGGGACAAAGCCCAGAGGAGGAGGGGCTGGAGGGTGAGTCAGTTTGGGGCTGGCTGGGGACATGGAGTGAAGTGCAGACTTGGTTGTCTGGCTGACTGCCCCCCAAAATGGACTCGGAGGAGGGGTCCTGTTCTCTGTACCTACAAGCTCTGTTTTAGACTGTGTTCCTGTCATCTAATAAACCTCTGTTTTACTCGCTGGCTAAGAATCACGTCTGACTGTGAAGTTGGAGTGCCGGACCCTCTGGCTTCCCGAGGACCCTCCTGGGCAGACTCGCTGTGGGAAGTGCACGGAGGGGCAGAGGATGCTAAATGCTCCAAAGGTCAGACCCAGGAGAAAGGAAGCCATGTGAGCTTCTTGCCCTGAAGACAGTCTGCTCACAGAGAGGAGACTTCCCCAGAGTCCTGACTGGCTTCATAGGGAGCAGTTCCAGAGCATCGCCTTGGGACTCCGTGATACTGGGCACCTAAATAGTGTTACTAAAGCTGTTCTCTATATTTAATATATAGAATACTTAAGGGGTGCTGCAAAATCAGAGGTAACCCTCTTTAGGTGCAAAGGCAGGTGAACTGTCATTCACATTATATATATCACTGTATCAGTCATGTGTAGCATACACATGCTTGCACATTAGGTAAGAAAACAAAGCCATAGAATGGAGATTACTTTCGATATAGATTAAGTGACTTTATTTTGATAGCCTCAAGCCTAGTCCTGTCCCATTAAAGTAAATAGCAAATCTCCCATTGATTTCAGTGGGTACAAGATCAGGTCCCTATCGTGTACATTCAAATTAAAAATACTGCATCTTAGCACTGCATACAATGCCAAAAGTTTTAGACAGCATGGGCCAGAACTGGATCTCAGTTATAAAGCATATATCAGGAATAACTCCATTAAAGTCTATGGAGTTGTTCCAGATTTAAGGACGCATAGCTGGTCTGCTGTTTACTATGGAATTCTTGGTTCTGTTCTTTCCCCTCCAAAATTTGTTTTAGAGTATACAGCCACAGGTGCCAACTCCATGGGTGCTCAGCACCCACCGGTGGGTCCTGCCAATCAGTTCCTCCCTTCCCCGCCTGCAGAGGATCAGCTGTTCAGAGGCGGGCAGGAGGCGTTGGGGGGGGGGCGGAGGGGAAGGAGTGGAGGCAGCAAGAGGAGGAGCATGGGTGGGGTGGGAAGAGAAGGGGCGGGGGCAGGACCTTGGGGGAAGGGGTTGAGGGGGGGCGGAGCCTGGGGCACAGTGGTGGGTCGAGCACCCCCCGGGAATCAGAAAGTCGGCGCCTCTGTGTACGGTGATGTTCCTTTTAAAACTTTTCGGTTATCTTTGTAGTTAAATGTTATGTCAGTATTTGCTCAATTTCTTAGGTATTCCTTTTACTAATTACAGGGAAGTTAGGGTTTAATGCAAATACCACATCATTTGCATTGTCTACTTGAAAAGGCCAAATAGTAAAGTTTTTAAAGACAACCACTGTATGCATCTTGATATTGTCCCTTGAAAGTTAAACAGAATCAGGATTTGGGAAATGTTTTGATTACAGTGAAATACTGAATTTTTAATAGCATTCCTGCCCTTTTCTTTTAGTCCGCTGGCTCAGCTTAAGAAGCCGATCGTCCCTCTTAGCTGCATGCCTCTAACAACTTGCCATTTTTGGTCTTTGTACTTTCAATACCTGTCTGATGCAACAGTATATATACAAAGTATATCTATACAATGATCAGTTCCCTGGGGTCACGGCAAAAATGTACCTAGTTACTATGTGATATATTTCTATGTCATTGGTAGGTTGCTAGGGCTTCTTTCATGTCATAAAACATTAAAAAACAATTAGAGCAGGAAATCTTTTCAAAGAATTTGGAACTGAACCAGCGCTCCCGAAATGCCACCATGAAATGAACAATAGGACTGTAATCCACATTTGGTGGCTGTGGGACTGTTTTTTGTTTGTTTGTTTGTTTGTTTTGCAACTCAATTTTTAGTTACAATACGCTTTACAAAATTATTCAATCAAACTTCTGAACTATAACGTTAGAGCTACAGGGCCAGATTCTTCACTGCACCTGAGCTTTGGTCAGGTATGTTGGGGCGGGCAGGCGGGCTGGGGGGAAAGGCAAGTGAGACTGCCAGGGGACTAGTTGCAGCTACCCAATCCCATCCCAGCTCTGATGTAACATAAAGCTGCTGTGATTCAACAGAAACTTAAACAGATACTTATTAGAACTATCATAAACCCAGTCGTGCTAAATGTGTGTGCAAAAGCAGATGTGAAACAGTACACAGATCTCAGACTATGCTTTTTAAAAGTGTGGCCCTTAATATTCCTGTTTCTATGGAAATGGAAATTATGCTAGTTTTAAAGTACTTACATTAGCAGCACCGAGAAGTATCAACGTAGGCCCAAGCCCTATTGTATATATAGACCTGAGAATTACAGACACTAAAAAGGGTCGGATACCAACAGGCTTGGAGAAGAAAAACAACATAGCTGTACAGACTGCCACTGCTATCCAAAGGAGGACTGAAAACAATGGAGGAAGCGTGCCTGGAGAGGGAAGAAAGGGAAACGTTAACCCTTTTGGAAAATCAGTTATGTGTCAAGAAACAAATCCGAGCAAAGCTTGGTTCCTTGGCCAGTTTACCTACCAAGGTGAATGAATCATGCTACATAATTTCTGACCATAACTTCGCATGATCATAGTGCGAAATACTGTTAACATATTAGGGTTAATTTCACACAGCTCCAATAAGGGTAGGTAATAAAATCTTCATTAAACCTGTGGATTGCTCGGAAGAGACAACTTGCCAGTCTGTTGTAGTGATCTGCCAATCAGTTCTCTTTTGCAAAGCTCATTAGGGCACCTTAGCTCTAGTGTAATGATTGTACAAATACAGAAATATCCTATTATGTCCTACCATGAAACAGTATAGTCAAATATTTGGACTGTGTCAATATACTACACTTACTTTTCACATTATCAAGTGCACAGCCAGCATGGGTGAGGCGAAATGATGGTGGCTGGGAAATGCGAAGAGGGCAGTTAAAATAGACTCAGAATAGAAACAATGGCAACAGCTCCAGGGCTAAGTAATATCACTGGGATTAGGAAAAAAAGAGAGACAGTCCCTAGTCTCCAAATTCAGAGTGCATCCAAACTTTCTCCAGACTATAGGGTGTTTATATGCTGGCAATTGGTTCAAGTCGAGCTCTGTAAATTAATTTTGCTACTAACTAGAATGGGAAACTTTAACAAACCTGGAATATACCTTTAAACTGGACATGAGGTCTTCATTAAAAGATAGGTCTAAAGCCCTCAATATTTCTTTAAAAAGTCATTCCCCCCCCCCTCGGTTCAGGTCAATCAATTTAATTTAACAGGACTTGCACTGGTAACAACACGTGCAGACATGCACAGTTGAGGCAAGGAGCCGTTGTCTGAAGAGCAGTTTCGCTTATATCATATGATGCTGGAATTGCAGAAGTAAATTAAAAGAACATTCTTAGGCTGATTAGATCAACCCGAGCACCTCAGACACACGGCTATGGGCTGATTTACTCAAGGAGAAAGGGGGGGGGGAATGAAATAAACTCTGCCTCTAGAGTTAGTTTTCTTTGGAGGGGGAGGAGGGAGAAAGGAGTCTGTCTCATGACTATTCCTGCTTGGCCACACCCATGTTTATTGTCAGTAAATCTCTAATTACATCTACAATTGCCTGGAATGATGGGATTTAGAAAAGTGAACTGCACTGTCACTGAAACCACTCGATTATTGGGGCTGCTTAAACTAAAAGAATTTTTCACTTGACCAGAGCTTACTAGACATGCTTGCAGTTCAAACTAAGTGTTAATACCTACTGATTGCAGCCCAGAGGATTTTACAGAGTAAAATTTTCAGATTTGCTAAATATGTCTTAGTTTAAAAGGTTTAGTTTTAACTCTTTATTTCTTCTCTGTTATTCTTTATGGTCTGGAACACATACATTTGAAACAAATTTAGACTTTAGAAAATTGAGAGCATTGGAGACTAAAATCTTCTCTGTACAGAGCAGGTATATACAGGAGGAATCTCAGCTCTAAAAGCTTCCCTACATAACCCTGCTGATGTGCCTGCGCTGTAACCTGCAGAGACCACCTCAGGGGGTGAAAGGGCAGTTCAGTCTCCCTGCCAATCCACTTTAATCCTTTGCCTCGCTGTTGAGTCTGCCAACCAGACCCATCTGTTTGTGCCAATTATGGCAGTGGTGTTTGGGAAGAGCACATGTATCCACTAGACCCTGGACTGATTCCACCCACTCCAATCACATGAGCCATCAGATGGAAGTGACTTTCAGTCACATTACTAATTGGACTGGATGTGAACCAATGACCTAGAGGTGAATGGCTCTCTATTCCGTTACCAATCTCTTGAGTCATCCAGTCCCCTTTATCCCCATTAAGCATGTTTAGGCTACAAAAACAAGTCTACAGTAGTCATTTGATGGAATATATTATTCAATATATTTCTTATGATGTATGATGAAGCAGAGGCAAAAATCACTGCTTTTAAATACATCATTGCTTTTTTTATCTACTAAATCTATCATTTGCAAATGATGTGTTATTTTATCCTTATAAGCACAGCAGTCAAAAACTGACAAATGAAACATATTTAAAATAATTTCATTCCATATCATGCTCTCCTAAATGGCCACTGAATATTTCCGTATGTTTTCAAAGAGATGCAGATGATTGACCAGATCCAAAACCCTCTGACATCAATGAAAACCTTTCCATTCTCTGAGGCATGGCTTATATTCAAGGCTTATATTTTAAAACATATTCTCTGATGTATGGCAGTGTTGCTTTTTTTTGTTTCGCAAAGAGTCCACACATACAAAGACACAAGAGAGAATTAAATAAAACTTTGAATTTCTGCAAAAAATTTGAGGCGAGAACAAAAAAGTTTCATGTTTTTCACAAATTTATGACTCTGTGATTCCTTTGCCAGTATTGCAAATTTCTTTTTTTTCTTAATATTCATTTAGTGATTTATATAGCACCCAAATGTCTGCTAGAGGTTTTTTTCTGTAATTCTGGTCACCAATATTGTCCTTTTCATGGGATTGATACCAAATACCACATTGGCAACTGCCCAAACCCCTAGCAGCAATTAATACTATGTCTAACAATTCCAGCACATTTTTTTCCCCATGAGATTCCTACAATATATGAAAACACACCATAGAATCAACTCATATTATATCACACAACAATGTTCAGGAGAAAATAAGTCTATTTAACAGGATTTTCAGCTGTGCCTGTGATTTTGGTTGCCCAACTTGAGACATCTTATCAGAGCCTGATCTGCAGAAAGCGCTGAGCGTCCTGCCTCTGAAATTCAGGACCCATTAAGGTGTCCCAAACTGGGTATCCAAAATGACTAGTGAACTCTGAAAATCTTAACTTTGCTGATTATGTTATTCAAGAGCTTTGCAAGGCAGGAGATTCACAGGAATTGCTGTTTAAGATGCAGTGATGTAATAATGGCTTGTGCTGCTTTAAAATTGAAAATGTTCACTAGTATAAGAAAAAAAAAAAGGATCACTTGCCTTCATCTCCATCATCTCCAAAGGGGTAGAAGAGAGCAACTGCTAAATTGATGAATACAGCCAGGTTGAAGGAAATGCTCCCCCAGAGGGAGATGTGTCTGGAGAACCAGAACAGGGCTGGGTTATCTAGGAAGGAGAGAAAAGCAGCATTGGAGAAATGAAAAGGAGATGCATGAGCTTACGAGCAACGGCTTCATGCAAACAAGAAAGGCAGCTTAATGGAGAACAGTAAAGTAAAAAATAAATATTCAGGATCCATAATGAACTCAAAAATGAATACTTCATACAGGTTTAATAGTCCTAGTATATTCTATTTACATGGCACTTTTCCACCCAGAAGGGTCCCAGTACTCTTTATTCTAAATTACGACCCTCTGGGGCTTACTAATGAGAGTTTTACCTATGTTAAGTTTGGAGGCCTGGACTTTTTGTGAAGGAATCATGTCACTGGACACTGAAAGGAGAGGGGAAATCTGTGGAAAAATGGCTCCCTGTATGCTGCACTGGAGTGGAGGGAAGAGGATGTTTTGGTCAAAGATACTGGAACACAGACCCTCCCTTACAAAAATGCAATGGGTTTTTTTATGACTTTATAGAACAAAGTCTTTTCCAAATGACCCACCGAAATCACATAAAATCACAATTTACCTAAGGGAGAGGGGAA